ACAAAGAAACACACACCTCTGTTTCAAATCTACCGTTGATTAGCTCTACCGCATCTTTAAGCATCGTGACATCAACGTCTCCATTCTCTAACGGTACAACCATATTATCCAGCATTATTCTCGTCAACCGAGTCACAGATCCGCTAACATACTCTAACACTTCCTTCACTTCCTCAAGCGTCCGAGTCTCCACCTTCAAGAAGATATCGATAGTTATTCGCGGCTAACTTGTAGCCACAAAAAGGGTTTGTGAGCTTTAGATTTACCTCCACATCCATGTCAAGATTCTTTTGGTTCAGATATTCGTCTACGGATTTGATGGCATTCACTATACCTCCTGCAGCTGAGATATGGTTATCTTTTATCATCACCATGTCAAACAATCCCATCCTATGATTCTTTCCTCCACCAATCACCACCTAAGCTAAGTTAGAAGAGGTAATAAATAATCTCAGAATCTAAATGTTCCAAAGAAGAGACTGAAATGCATCCCAATGGCTAGAACAAGCGTGGAACGTACCGCCCATTTGTCTACTAACCGCAAACCAGGAGCAGTTTTTCTTGTCTCCAATATACATGCAGGGTATGCAGCATCGGCCATTAACTGCACAAAACTAACTCATTCAGGTAAACTCTCTAACAAAATTTCAGAACAAGGAACCGAAACATGAACCTCCGCAGAATTTACAAAGAAACAAATAGACAATAACCAATTTCAGATGAACAAGATTACTACTGAGAGCTAAACTGCGCTATAGAACCAAAGAACGAGTGGATACCGATGAATTATCATAGACCCGTTAGTAAGCCAATAAACCATTCTCATTAAGATATAAGTTTTCAATCATCACTGCGTTAATAAGAATGTAACCACACCAATCACTTCACAAAACCTTGGTAAGAGTGGCAATTCCACTCATCCTTTGCATAAAGTTGAGCACAACTCTTTCAGCAACAACAATCTTATGTGCATTCCCTGATACTTTTCCAAACTTCAATCCTTTATGAACATAATCTCCATCTTTTCGCATCCATTCAACCTAAAGATTCAACATAATATTACTTCAAAAATCAATCATTTAACCAAAAGCAAAGGATACAGATTCACAGATATTAAAAAAAAAAAACCTTCAACGAAGGATCAACATGTTCAAAAATCATCTCAGCAAGAGCAATTCCAGCAACAATACCATCTTCCTTGGCCAAGAAATAAGCTTCCACTTCCATATCAATCGGTATCGTAGCCATACACGTTACATCTCCTACGCTCAACCAAAATTCATGAGCTCAATTTCACAAATAAAAATCGAAACTTTTTGATACTTAAAAAGAGAGTCGAAAGAAGGAACCTGTATCACCAGCATCTTCAGCTAAGGCTAGTTTGATAACTGCTTTCAAATCGTAAGTAGGATGCGAAGGAGGCTTTATCGCCATTGAAGACGCTCCCGAAGTCTGAGTCGCAGAAGCCGACATTTTCACGAAGCTCCTGAAAACAAAGATCAATCAGAGCAAGGAATTGAGATCTATCACAGAAATGAATCACACCGAGAAGAGAGAGTGAGAGATATTAATTGTCGGATAAACCTCTGAATTGCGTAGAATTGAGGCGACAGGAATCGAGAGATAGAGAACATTGTCGACTGACTCAAGTCTGTTTCTTGGTCCTCGTGGCAATTCTGTGAATATATATGACTCGAGGGATGATAAAATAAATTAAAAATAATATTTGATTGAGCAAAAAAAAAAAAACACTTTATGTATTGGGCTTTAGAACATCATTAATGGTAAAAATTTGTAGGTGTTTTTAAATATAAAATTATTAAAATTTGAGTAAAAGGAAGAAATAGAGTGTTTTTGGTTTAAATAATGGGTTGTATTGAAATATAAAATTAATAAAATTTGAGTAAAGAGAGGAGATAGTGGATATTTTTGGAGAGAGAGTGTTTCTTACATTTTTGGAGAGAAAATATTTTTTAGTTGGGTGTGTTTAAATATAAAATTAATAAAAGTTGAGTAAAATGAAGAGAGAGTTTCTTTAAGTTGATACTTTTGGAGAGTTTTGTGGGAAAAAGTGGGTGTGTTTAAATATAAAATTAATAAAAGTTGAGTAAAATGATGAGAGAGAAAGTATAAAGTTGAGTAAAAGGAAGAGAGAGTGTGTTTTTAATATTTGTTTATTTAAAGACACCCAAAAAAAAATTCACTAATGCTGATCCTCTTAAATAGATGAAGCCAATCTCAATTTTACACTTCAACCCTTTTTGAAGAAAAAAACAAATTAGTGTTTGGTTTTCTGGCCTAAAATAGATATATTATGAGCATAATTAAATTATGCTTACAGTAATAACACTAGATAATCATATGTACTTTATTTTGATTTGCAAAATTCACATGAAATTTCGTAAACATGGTGGTTCAGTTTTCAAACATGTTTTTAATAATAGCATTGATTTTTTAGAAAAATATATCTACCAAATGTATATACATTTTGCGAAAATAGTGTCGCATTTTTACGTTAACGTTTCGTCAATTTTAACTATACATTTATTATCTACCAAATTAATCTTTTATGTTCATATAAAAATTAATTTGCCACACACTGGAAATTGAAACATATATTTGTCCTCTATTTGTAATTGTTTTTTTTTCTTGACATATTTTTGACTTATACCTCGACATAAATGTGAGCCAAAAACTATGAGAATCTCACCAACTCACACCACTAACGTGACCTCAAAACGGCAATGTTTACCGGACAATTCAACCTCGTTTATATTATTATAAGAGAATCGTCTATATATGAGATATTTCTATATGCTTATATAATCAATAAACGTCTATGGTGCAACATATAATTGTATGGACCGTTCTTGGCTCTTTGCCTAAATCTAAGAAATGTGATAACTCTTATTAGATACGTTCGAAGTCCGAACCAACCAACGTAATTGTTGTATATGCGGTTCCAAGACTCCCAAGTGTATTCTTAGCAACAAAAAAAAGACTCCAAGTGTATGTTTTTCTTTTATGATGCGTTTGTGTATATTTCCCCACCTTAAGGATTTCATGTATAATTCCATATTTCTTAATAGTCTTAGTTTTCAACTGTCTGGTAGTAGATAGATTCCTAGCTACAATATAAAAACATGTCCTAAAGAAATTTGAAAACGAGAACAAGAATTTCTGGCAAAATAATACTAGTCTATCTATATATGTGTGTGCGAAATTCTGTTAGAATAAATAATTAAAATATTATTCTAAATAGGCTGCTAAAAGTGAAGACATAGTAAAGTTCAACATAAAACATAACACTCAAGATGCATGCAAGGAACAAGTCAAAGATTATAGTAGAAGAAGCAGCCTCTCAACTTCGTTTTATTTGAATTTTTGGCAATATTATTGAACAACATTCAAATCAAACCATTGTCTCTCTCCTTCTCCATCTATCTATATATTTCATTTTCCATAATATTTACCATCTAACTCAAAATATCTACGAACTAACTTAACGTTTCCTTACGATCATCAACCACTAACCCATTCATTCATTCTATTTCTAATCTCGACGTTTACCATATATCTGACCTACAAGACCGAGTTTTTGCAACATCATGATAAGGAGGTTCATGTGGAAATTCATTATATTGATGTATTTGATAGCTTTGGTCGGAATCGGATCAAGAGGAACCTCGGCAACGGCGAGGCTGATAAGGATGAATAAAGAAGACATAAAAGGAATAAGGTTTGGTTTGCAGAACAAGCTTCAAAGAGGACCAGTTCCTCCTTCAGAACCTTCTCCATGTCACCACAAACTAAGCCCTATTGCTCATTCAGAGGTCTATTCTTCCCAAAGTTATGTTCCTTGCCCTTGATGATCGTAATTGACCATGACCATCAACCACATTTATTTATTTTATTCTTTCTCCCTTCTCATACATAATTGTATCCGTAATTCGGCTCATCAAAAATCGAATGAGTCGTACGTATCATATGTTTTTGGACATATAAATTATACAAACGATTTGTTTGTTGTTGTACAATTACTTATAATAAAATATACCACATATAGAAAGATCTAAAAGATCAAAAAAAAGATATTGTGA